GCTGTATCACTGCAGAAGCACACAGTGGAAACGGGGTTTTTACGGCGACGTCGTGGGGAAAATCCGTTCCGTTGCTATACGGGAATATGCAGTTTGAGCTGTACAGTCTGTGTACTGACACCCGTCATCGCCTACCTGGAGGTCCGTGTCCCAAAATGACAACGGATTATTGTATTGTCATCCAAGACCAAGGTCTATACCAAWTTTCAGAATTTTTCATCGTCAAAAAGTGTCTCAAATCGAGCGCSCAAGATTTGATTACAGACAAACAAAYAGACAAACAGACGTGAAAGCGACCTTAAGAAAAGTGTGTAAAAAGGGATTTTGACACGATGTCATAATATTATAATTTATTATAGTCACTGACGAGCAAGTGTGTCAACTAATAACGCATTGATGTTATTTTATAATAATTTATAAAATTAGAGGTGGCGTGGAAAAAACGTGGACGCAGCCACGCGGCGATGTTGTCCTTACCTGGAAAAAGAGGCAGAAGCACACCCACTGATAGTARCCGTAAGTCTTGCGGTCGTCCGCCTTGCCGCGGGTGTTGTCCACGCCTGGGTACGGGACGGCGACACCCACCTTCTTCTTGAACGCCTCCTTAATCGTGTACGTCGAGTGTATCCAACARTACGTGTTGAGCACGTCCTCAGGTATGTCTTTGGTGTGCACGCAGTCGATCGGGTTGCCGACGTACTGCCGGGTGGTGACGATCAGGCTGAACGCCGACAACAGCATCACGGTCAGGCTGTAGTGTAGCCGAAACACGGGCGAATCGATGTGCACGTGGCTGATTTTCACCAGGCTCTTCAGGCCCCGGAACACGTCAAGCATGGCGTACCGGGCCGACGGGACACCCCATCCGTAAGCACCGCCGCATTCCCGCACCGGTCGCAATCGTCCGGGATGTCAGCTGTCGCTGTCGGCGCCGTCCACGTCGACGACGACCAGCAGACGGCCGCCGCCGACCGCACCCGCGGCCGTCATCATAGTGGCCACCGCGATACTGCTGATGTTATTGTTGTTGGTGGTRGTGGTGGTGGTGGTGGCGACAGCGGTGCTGCTATCGCTATCACTGTCGCTGCCGCGGTGGTGGTCGTCGTCCTTCCACCCCCGGCACAATGCCGCTCCTTCTTGTCGTTCCTTCGYCAGTCACCTGCGAACGAAACACCGGCGCATGATTAGCATGCTATCATAGGCGCTAAACCCGGGTGCCGCA